CAAAAAGAACACAAAGGCTCGTCTCACATTTGCCAAAAAATACATTGATTATCCCCAAGACTTGAACAAGAAAAGCTGAACTTTTTGGAAGGTGTGTGTCCCGTTACATCTGGCGTAAAACCAACACAGCATTTCATAAAAAGAACATCATACCAACCTTCACACATGGTGGTGGTAGTGTGACGGTCTGGGGCTGCTTTGCAGCTTCAGGACCTGGATGACTTGCAATAATTGATGGAACCATGAATTTTGTACTCTAATCAGAAAATCCTGAAGGAGAATGTCCGGCCGTCAGTTTGTGACCTCAAGCTCAAGCGCACTTGGGTTATGCAGCAGGACAATGATCCCAAACACACCAGCAAGTCCACCTCTGAATGGCTCAAGAAAAACAAAATTAAGTTGGAGTGGCCAAATCAAAGTTCGGACTTAAATCCAATTGAGATGCTGTAGCATGACCTTAATCCGTACATCCATGATCGAAAACCCTCCAATGTGGCTGAATTAAAACAATTCTGCAAAGAAGAGTGGGCCAAAATTCCTCAACATCGATGTGAAAGACTCATTGCCAGTTATCGCAAACGCTTGATTACAGTTGTTGCTGCAAAGGGTGGCACAACCAGTTATTAGATTTAGAAAGGGAATTACTTTTTCACATAGTGCCAGGCAGGTTTGGACAGCTCTTTTCCCTTAATAAATGAAATCATTATTTTAAAACAGCATTTTGTATTTACTCGGGTCATGTTTGTGTAATATTACAATTTTAAAAGTTTGTTGATCTGAATTATTCAAGTGTGACGAATATGCAAAAAATTAAAAAACAGGAAGGGGGCAAAAACTTTCACACCACTGTATATAAATGTTTTATCAAATGTTTGACAATGCGTGGTTTAAATGGGGAAAAACACGAGATACAAGCTTTACATACGCTCTACCATCAATCTCTGAAAGCTTTCCTTTATTTTCTTTTTTTTTTAAGGGCATTAAGCTAAGTCTCTAAAAAATTTATAACTACCGTGAAACGAGATGGTTTTCAGCAAGGCTGTCTGATTACGACTAATAATGTCAAATTTAGACTCTGGGATTCAATTATCCGGCTGTCTAAAATGATACACCGCTTTCTGAAATGGATTACATTCAGGTACTCCTCTGCTTCTCCCTTGCTGCTGCAGATTTTAAAATATGTATAAGCTGAAAGTGGAATCCCAACCCTGTACAGTCCTTTAAATGATTTATAAAGCTCATTCTTCTCTGTTTTGTTTCTCATAATGACACACGTCATTCCACCATGGAGACCAACAGGCATTTTAAGTGTGAGACCATAGAGCTGCTCACCTCTATTAATTCTTCATATCTTCACTCAATAAGAGTTCAAAACACAGCAGCCTTTGCTTTTATAACCCAATAATATAAGTTACTTTAAGTAACTTCTTAAGTTACTTTATCATTGCGGAGAAGGCTGCCAGGCTGAACAGGGTAAAGAGACAAATAAGAGAGTCTAGGAGGACTATTATAATACTTGAAGAAATTGAGATCTACTTTTGCTCATGTGTGTTCAGTTCTGCTGTAATATTTTTGAGCCAATCACATGAGAACCGTAAATAATCACTCAAGTTGCATAATGACATCTCAAATGAGACCGTCGAATGCCAACACAAAAAATTGGTCTTGAGCCCCAAGCTGTGATGTCAAAGGCAGTAAATAGAAAAATGTCAGCTTAAAGGGGTCCTATTATGCTCTTTTACAAAGTCTTGATTTTGTTTTGGGGGTGTACTAGAACATGCTCTCATACTAGGTTGTATTTTTCACATATTTTACATTATTACAACACCTCTCTCCCGTTGTAGTGTTTGAAAAGTGATTTCGGCTAAATAAAATATCTCCTTTTGAATTGGACTTTGAGCTTTGTAACTTTGCAAATCTTTTTTATGCTCAAACAGCAACATTACAGACTAACTAAAGTTGAAAAAGTGAAAAATCATAATAGGACCCTTTTAAATATAAATTTAAAAGTCTACTGTAATATGAAATATTCACATTTTAAATGTTGCTATTTTGCTAGAATACAAAAATATTTTTGAATGCTCATCAATGGAAAAATACTTTGCAGCCAGATGGTGTACTTACAACGTCTACCAGCAGAGTCTAGCGGGGCCATGCTAACCAGCTAAGCTTTAACCCTTTGGTTGGAACCCGGTTAACTACGTTTATGCGATTCCTGTGGGCGTTTCTAGAGCACGCCACTGCTGCCAATATCCTTCGGCAGGCCTACCAGGGCGTCCTCCAGACATTCTGATTTTGTGCCCCCTGGGCCTAATTATAAAACCCAGCTTTTGCTGGGCCACCTGCTTCACTGTGAAATGAAGCTCTTGTGGTGTGAACGAAGTCTCTGGCTGATGAAGAGTGTTAATTATTACTCACAGAAGTAATCATTTTCTAATCACCAGGGGATGCAATGAGACGACTCTGGTCCATCCCCAGGCAGTCTAATTTAAATGACACAAGTGAGAGATGTTCAGCTGACTGTTATGACGCATTCTTAGAGGCCATCGACACAACTGTAATTCCTCAGCATCAGGTTTAAGCAACTACCTTTGCTGTATAACATACACAAATTGATATGCACGCTTATCATTAAACTCTGACTTCATGCAGACAAGAGGCTCGCTTGACTTCTGAGAAAGGTAGTTTATGCATATGTTGTTAGTCTGTAATGACCTATTATCCCTAGTCTTCATAAGTGCTGACAGACAAGATATTATGATAGCAGAAATGATGATGAGTCTCGGATGCCTATAGAAGTTATTAGAACAAAGCATAATGCATTTCATATTGTCAATAAGCATTAATTTTTTACAGTTCAATGCAAATGATAGGTTTACATTTATATACTCGTGCTTTTGTTTGATAGTAACATAGCATGCCAAGGAGCTTATAAATGGAAATAAATGGGAGTTTTCTTGTTTCTTTGGAGAGTGAAATAATTATAATTTATTAAAAACTTAAAGCAGACATAAAAAATAGTAAAATACTGTATAATGATGCACTGAAATTTTAGCCAAATATTATTTCAAATTAGTCTTTGTTTGGAAAAACTACAATTCTGTTTTGTATATTTATAGAGAGACTCCATTATAATTTTTGTATAGTAAATCTATAACTTTAAAAACTGAAATTTGGCTGATAACACATCTGTACCTTGTCAAAAATACACAACAGATGGCAATGCATTTTCCATTCCTAAAACAAATGTGGTAGGCTCTTTTAAGTAACACACTTTTTTGCCTTCACACATAAGAAATAGTTCCTCTAATGAAATAGGTCTTTACTAATGCACCTACAGCCAAAGAGACTGATTGCTTCTGGGCATAGGGACTTCAATGCACAATTGGGGAATGCAAATTCTGCAAATTTACAATTGCATTCCAATTGTGAAACTGTTTCTGTTCACATTGTCCTCTGGCCAGGGGCGCCGCTAGCAATTTTGGGCCCTATGAAAGAATATGATTAGCTTAACAGCTGTATTACTTGTTTGCTAGCTACCTATGCACATACAGCAGACAATGTTAAAAATGTTTTACATTATGAACCTTAACCCAAAAACCTTTAGCTTCATACACTGTATTGTATTGTGACCCTGCCTGTGGAAACCCAGCTAAAGTATTGTTTTTTAACAGTGGATGAGTAATTCACTCCTTGATTTGCTTAATAAAAGCCTCCTTTGAGATCGTTTTGAAAGACATGTTTATTGTGTATTATTTTCAACGTGTTTATTGCTAAGTTTAGTGTGGCAGACGGTGGCAAAATAATTAAATAATAATTTGCCTGCAGTGTATCTGGTTGCCATGACAACCTCACACGCTTCCTGCTGCTGCTCTATGTAATCAGAGTATAAATTTGTAGATTTTCTATAGCAAAACTAAAATGTGTTTAAAAGTGCGACTGACCAAATCGTCCGGTTCGGTTTGCCCCCCCTCGAACTCGAAGACATCTCTAATTTGACAGTTTACCATCTGATCTCACTCAGTGACTCTAGGCTACGTAGGACGGGACGAAACCATGCAGTGAATGGGGGGAGATAATTTAGCTGGAAATGCAGAAATAAGCTGTAATTTTGTTTTATTTGTAACTCTTTGGTAGATACATTTATAATTTATATTACATTACTACTACTACTACTGTTACTACTAATAAAATAGATCTCTGGGGGCCCCAAAAGTGTGTGGTCCCTTAGAATCGTCCTAACTTCCCCCCCCTTCAGCGGCGCCCCTGCCTCTGGCCACTGAAAATATTCAGCAAAACATAACATAAAACAATTTTCAGTTGAAACTTCTCAGTGGTCAAAATTTCAAGAGCTTTATATGGTATATTTGATGGGAAACAAAACACTGTGACATCTGTTCCAGCAACAATAAGCACCCTCTCCCTAAATCTCTCCACATTGAGTCCCTCATTGCAGTCTGTAATTACAGAGATTAAGCCACTTTGTGCTCTCACTCTACCTAATAGCCATCGCATCACTCTGATCCGAAGTAAGAACTCATGAGATGTTTAAGCCTCAACCGTCAACCCTCTTGAAGTTGCCCTTCAATGACAGCCACTGCTCTATAATACTGCTAGACATCCAGATGGTTTAACATGCCAGTTTTCTCTTTGCTCAACCACTCTCAAAACCCTCAATAAGATGGGAGCACTCAGCTGCTTTCAAAGAAGGCTGCCAAGCCGAGTTTAGTATTTTGGCATGCAGTTATCTTGACAGAAATCACTGTTTATGTGTCAATGTCGACAGCCTGCTGACTTCAGTTGCTCCTCTGCTTAGAATTATGATTTAAGCAGTTTTCAAAGGAAGCACCTACAATACAAAATGATTTGGTTGTGTGTGTGTGTATAGATCAGATAAGGTAATACAGATACTTACACTTTCAGAAAGAATAATACATTTAGTATACAGTCTTTAAACTCACTGGAGTACATCAAAAATGAGAGAAAAGCCAAAAACTTACCCAGATCAGATCCATACACTTCAATCAGAGGCATCTAGGCAGGAAGATGTTTCCAGGTACTAACAAATGCAGTTGGAATCAGTGAATAAGGCACGGTAGTGATACTGTTCCAGCTATCTGATGTTGGATCATAGCAATCCAGGGTTTTACACCGCTGTGTACCGAAGTATCCGCCGACCACGTAGAGTTTATTACCAGAGGCCACAGCATGGCAGCTCATTCTTTTAGAAGTCATGTCACCAACACGCGTCCATTGATTGGTCTCACAATCAAATCGGTAAGCGGACGCTGCAGTGAACTCTGTATCACCACCCATTATGAATATCTGACTGCCAAGGACAGCGGCGGCGGTGTATCTCCAGGGTTGCGGGCATTCGGCAGCTATAGTCCAACGGTTCTCAACAGGGTCATAGCATTGGACCTTTGAAGCCTTGTCCCTGTGTATGGTGGTTCCACCAAACACAAAGAGTTTTAGCTTGGCGCTGACCACTGCTGCATTGCTGACACCATCCCTAAGTGGTGCCATCATTGTCCATTTGTTGGTTAGGGGGTCATACCGCTCAACCTGTTTAAGAGATACTGATGGGGAGGCTGGGAAGACACCTGCTATAGCAGTGTGACCCCCAACAACATACAGGCAGTTTTCAAGTTCAGCCGAGCCATGTCCAAAACGAGCAATTAGCATAGGGGCACCTTTCGACCATTCTTCATGTACCGTGTCATATATCCAAACATCCTTCGACACTCCATTTTCCGACCCCCTTCCTCCTGTCACGTAAACTTTGCAGCCAATGGCACATGCACTGAACTCCTTCCTGGGACTAGGAAGATCTGATTTAGGGATGATCTCTTTTGCTTTGTGATCCACTTGGTAGATCTTATCACACATAAATGTCTGACCCCCAAGAATGAGCAGCGTGTGCCCAGCTTTGCGAGGCCTAGCGCATGGGCTGGTGACAACGCCGTCATTCTGCAGAATCTTTTTCTTGCACTGCATGGCCTCATCGACAATCTGTCGGCTCCTTTTATCTGACATCACAAGTTCCTCACATGCCACAGCCTCAATGAGGCATTCTGAGGGTAGCAGTGCAAGGCGTAGTCCTCGCAGCAGCTCAGGAAGGTAGTCTCTGCGGCTGTCTAGGTCATACCTAACCCAGCGCATGACTGCATTGAACACAACCTGTTCATCTTCAACCTCCAGCTCATCGCTAAGGATGAGATCCAAAAGCTTGTCTTTCGAGAGCCTGCAGAAGTCTTCAGTGTCTCGAAGAGTCTCAAAGTGGATGAGGCACATCCTCCACGACAGTTCATAAAGGCGCTTGCACTGATGGGCGTCGGAAAGCAGCATCATCCCTAAGCAGTTTGACACATGCAAATTCTTCTCTAAAAATTCTGCTGCTGCATCACGGATGTCATGAAACTGCAGCATATCTCCAGCCTCGAGAAGTGACTCTGCATTCTCCTCGTTGATGATGACACGTGAGGAGTAAGCAAAGTCCAACAGCAGCTCCAGAACTTCTGGGTGAACACTGTCTCGAAAGTTAACCTCATTGTCAAGGCTCTCACGGAGGCCACCGCTAAACATGGCTTCAAAGTAGCGACTGCAAGCAGCAAGCACAGCTCTGTGACAGGGAAAGGAGCGGTTGCCTGCCCATAGTGTCACATCTGTGAACATGCACTGTTTGCGCAATGTATTGAGGTGGGTGAGCACACTGTCTGGATGTGACGGCTTGTGGAAGAGCGAAATGTTCATGGAGCCTGTGCTCGTCCTGGACTTGCGGTTTTCATGGACGCTGACTGACATCTTTTCCAGCACGTCCAAATTTTCACTGGTTCCAATACCCCGAACTAGGAAAATACAAAAGCACAACAAAGTAAGTTAGCAAGTGCTCTATAAAGGTATTTTCAGTATTGAGAATGACTCACTGCTGTACATGTGTATGCTTGGCAATAAAATCACCACTGAAAAGGTGGTTATGTACGGTGCTGTATCAACAAAATTTAGAGCCAACTAGTGCCACATTTTTTTCAGCTGCAGACATCATAACTATTGGTCTTGGACTTTTTGATGATTAGCATTTACTTAAATGTGGTTGTAGTGTTTGTGTTGAAATGGCTGATAAATCTTTTTAAGCTTTTTTTTCTTGCGTATAATGTCCAGAGACTGAAAATGTATTGCCTGAATGACATTTTCACATTCTTCATAAGAAAACTTTGCTTGACATTTGCTAGATATTCAGAGCTCCTTCAGTAATCTTACTTCAACAGTTGAGTTCCCTGTACTTTGTTCAGAGGATCTTAGAACTGTAATCTTTCTTTACACTGTTAAGCCAACACAAAGTGCACAATTAATCAACTCTCTAATTCTCACATTTTAGACATTTTTGACAGACTGTGATAAAGTTTAGATTCATAGGTCAGTAATCCTTTGTTTTTGGCAAAACCTTGAGATAACTATGCAAGAAATCCAATCAGATCATTAAAATGAACACCTAAAGAAAACAAACATAAGAGAATCCTATCTACACTAATCAATAGTAGTTTTACTAGATTAAATGTGAGACATTTGTGAGGAATAAAAATGCAAGAATTAAAAAGATAGCATCTATAATAAACTGAGAAACCTAATTATTTATATTCTGTTATGATTCTATCGATCTTGTGTAGAGCACAGTTTTTCCAAGTAATACAATTATGTCTTCATAATTAACTTTAAATTAAACTTTTCCTTTCTCTCTTATACAGGTGCATCTCAATAAATTAGAATGTCATGGAAAAGTTCATTTATTTCAGTATTTCAACTCAAATTGTGAAACTCGTCAATGCACACAGACTTAAGTAGTTTAAGTCTTTGGTTGAACTTTTCCACGACATTCTAATTTATTGAGATGCACCTGTATCAGTAAATTTACTTGAGGTTTTTAACAGTAAACATTGTTACAAATCACTGACATGTTCATTCAACGCATAACTGGGGTGACGACAACTAGTCCAAACTGTAATACACTGCGTGCAATGCGGCAAAACTAGAAAGCTCCTATTATAATCAAGAAAGTGCAGATTGTGTAAATTAGACAGGTTTGTTGATTAACATTCTTGAGTTATAATGCAATCAACAGCATGAAAAACAAAATGGTTTTTCACATTTTAAGAGTGTTAATGAGAAAATGGCAATTTAGGCACTTGATTTACGGTGCAGAAACGCAATTGGAAAAGCAAAGAAAATGGTTTGCTGATTGGTCAGGCTTGCAGCTCATGATTTGGTGAAATCCAGACAGTTTTGCTCGTTATCTGAAGTGTGAAAACTAAGGTTTCAAAAGCAGAGGTTCAATGTTACCAGTGGCTCATTGTGTGAGTGGATGCGCTTGCATGTAAACTGGATTCTTTAACTGAAACAATTTGAGGTTGTGATGAGAGAGGGGTGCAAGCATGCACAAATATCTGCGGGGTCTTTATGGATCACAATCTCGGGATGATATGAATCACAATGCAAGAGTTTGACCACAAAGGATGCAAGGTCACAGCTATCCGTGCAGAAAGCTATGCAGGGGGATAAGGGCAGCTGGGAGGCTGGTATTGGAGGGGTAGGATGCAGGGCTGTTGATGGGTGAACAAGAGAAAAGGGAGTAAGCAGGTGTCTGAAACCACTTACAACGGCAAAAACTGCTGACCCACGCACAGGCACTGACAGTGAGGAACTGAGGGGGGGTCTGCATTGTTCTGCGTCCCCTCAACAGGCCAGGCCAACAGAGTCCTTTATGGGGCCAGGGAACAGAAAATGCAAGAGAGAGATTTTTTTCCACATACAGTATAAGAAAACTTAAGAGGTTCTCCAGTCATTTCTTGCAAGGTGAAACTGCCTTGGAGTTCCTGCATGGTTCATCCCATCACCCATGGTAACCATCACTCAACAACAGCATGAGCCATGCCAAAGTTGCTGAATCATTCAATGTGAATAAACTAACTACCTATCCATGCAGATATTCTCACCAGCATGAATGACACCTTTTAATTGCAATGCCACTGAGAGGCTGAGGAACAAAGGTCTTTATTTCTTTGAATGTTCTTCCTGTGTAAACATCTAGACTCCTCTGACTAAATAGCCTTTCCAGGTTCTTTTCACTGAGGATGTTGGTATTCCAGAGCTGTATTTCAGTTAGCAATGGGAGCACTGTGGGAGGTGCTTTTTGTGTGTTTGCGGAAAGTCAAAAGCTGGCAACTTCGCTGATTTGAAAAAGCTCCAAGAATCACCGGCCTGCATGAAGTCAATCATCAGGATTAAGCACTTCTATCAGCACTCAGGCTAAAATATATTTTACACAAGTACGTGGATGCAGACATTTCGCACTGCGCAAGCTCGATTTCATGCACTACGTCTTCCGAAATGTCGTAATACAGTCCATGCTCAGTGAGCTGCCATGTGAGGCACTATAACGAATGTCTTTTGGCTTAAAAAAAACTACAAAAATTTTACCTTTAGGGGTACAACTTGTTAATGAGGCAGTACAAATGGACAACTTTGTATTGACCCCTCTTTTTTTTTTAAAGGGGTCATATGTTGCTAAAAAGAACATTATTTTGGTGTATTTGGTGTAATGAAATGTGTTTATGCGGTTTAAGGTTAAAAAAAACACATTTTCCACATACTGTACATTACGGTTTCTCCTCTATGCCCCGTCTTTCTGAAATTTTTTCAAAGCTCATCGGTCTGAAAAGCGAGGTGTGCTCTGATTGGCCAGCTATCCAGTGTGTTGTGATTGGCCGAATACCTCAAGCGTGTGACGGAAATGTTACGCCCCTTACTATACTGGGATGCCCTGTCAGGCCGGAGCAACGACGAAACACACAGCGTCACACATGGTGGGCTAGAATGAGCAGCGGCCGACGGCCTAGAGTGAGCGGAAGCTGGCTTGAGTGAGCGGAGGCTGGCTTGAGTGAGCGGCGGATTTGAGTGAGGAACGGCGGGCGGCGGGCTTGAGAATTTGCAGTCTGTGACTCAGAACAGCCGCCATTGTAGTCTACTCTACCAGGACCAGGAAACAGTCCTCCATAAAATGGGCTGTACACATCTGAATATTTGGGTTAAACTGTTCTGGAACAGTGTTGTAAATACAACTTAACCACTGATTTCTAGTCGTGTCCTCTTTTGGAAGGCCAAACAAAGTAGTTTCGCTTTCACAACGAAACACGTGGGGGCGTGTTAGAATGAGCCGTTTTAGGTAGGCGTGGTTGACTCTTAACTTTTATAAAGAATATCTCTTTGGATTTGAGACTTTAGTCTTTGCAACTTTACAGATCTTCTTTATGCATCAAGAGCTTGTAACACTCCAAAGAGAAAGGAAAAATTTAAATCGCATCATATGACACCTTTAAGGAATGCTATATTCATTTAAAATATCCTTGCTGAATACTTCACTGAATAGTTGCTACAGACAGTACTCGCTGCCATTGTTACAGAAAATTATAGTAGTGTGGCCAAACTGGCCATTTTGGCTGAAATGGAAAAAAAAAACTTTAGTGAAAGCATGTTAAGCCTTCCTACGTTTAGTTCCTTATTTATTATTACAACATAAAGTACCATTTTTTTAACCCTGCAAGGACGCCCAGAACTGCACATCTGGGCATCTCCCTTATTTGACACCCATTTAAGGACATGGAACCTCTAAAAATGAGCTGACGAGCTGAATCAGGTGTTAAACATCCAAAATGTTACAGGAACAAAATGTAGAACCATTGGTAGTCTAACGTACCAGGTGAGTAATTAAGGCAAATATAATTGTAATATTAGTGTCATGAAACCTTTGCAAAAGTAAGCAGCAGCCAATATGCGGTTAGACAGGCGTTTGCTTAGTACTTGAACTGTGACCAATGCAGAAATAACTGGAATGACCTTCAAATTGTACATGGACCCTGAGGCCATAGATGATACATTCAAGCGCAATGTCCTGACTTTTATATCGTATAAACACATGTTTTATTGTAAAAATGTTCTCTAGGAGCAGGTGTTCTGTGGTTCGGGCTTGGGTGGGAAAAAAACAAAAAAAATACACAATATTCTGTCCGTCGTTCCCTCAGTTAACCCCTCGCCTCAGTACACTATGAAAAGTGGTTGTACGTTAACAAGTGTAGCCAATATGGAATTAAAAAGCAGATAAGCAATAAGATTGGCAAGTTCGTAGTAAACGGCGACTATTTTTTGCGCCACGAGACTTCAGAAATGCGCACCAACTAAAGATACAGTTAACCAGCTCGCTAGTGCGCTAAACAATGTAAAGAGACACCTGATTAAATGGATAACTTACACTGAGGTATAACGTATAATAAGTAATAATAATGTATGCATACAGCAGGCGCTTTTATCCAAAGTGACTTACAGTGCATTCAGGCTATACATTTTTTTACCAGTATTTTTTACTATTACTATAATGTAATAGTAAGATAAAAATAACCACAGTAACATCTCAAAAATGACAGATTAAGCTGCGCTTATGTTTATGCCGACCGCTCAGTAACGACACTGTGAATGAGAGGAGCTAACGCTGTTAGCAGAGAGTCGTAACTCCGTGTATTGACATGCAGAAGAAAGCCTGACAAACTCCTGGCGATTAGAGACACGTAAAGACGCTGCTCTCCCTGTAAGCGATCATTATTTGTTCTCCTATACCCATTTCTCCTTCTGGAAGAAGCGAGAGGTAGTCACAAATCCCTATCCAGCTCACATCTAATCCTGACTGAGTGTATTGGCTTTTCCAGCTCTAACAAAAACAGGAAGAACAGTGCAGATGTTGGTTAGAGTGTTATTCATCTAAAGCTTTTTTTGTTTTTGCTCTAATACAAGACTATTTTTAGAAAGACATGGCATACTTACAGTGTTCTGGGCGCTAGTGAGAAATCCTGACGTTGTGCGGTTTCGGAATTAGGGAAGGAATCATAGTTTTGTTCACCTATTGTCTGGTTGTCTCTTGTCTGGTTGTGTTACTTTGTTCACATTTCAGTCCTCACTGAATGAAAAACTGTGGAGTCTCCTGAGGTAATATCCAAAAGCAGAGGAACGGGTTGATTGACGTGCCGTTGACCAATCACGCACTGAGAATTTATGCAAATATAAATTGTAGCCAATAGGAACGTTCGAACCTGAAAGTCTGCGCTGTTTTCAGTACAAAGTAGCCAATGGCGGAATAGTGGGAGGAGCGTCGCGGAAGGCGATGACAGCGCATCACAACAATTAGCAGGGAAGTGTTATGACTTTTTGTGCACATACGCTTTTTAAAATTGCTACAAAGACGGATGTTCACACAAATTAGCAGTATTTTGGCAAATATATAATTGTATTTGAATAATAGCCATTCTTTGTAAATATAATTAAAAAGGACCGTATTTTATTCTTATTATTGAATTAGCGCACCGTTGTTTGTTCATAAGGCAATGGGATTAGTACAATCTATAGATCCTTTTCCATGTATGAATGCAACAATTGTAAATCGAGAATGTTTTAAATGCAATGCTTTTAGCTCCATCTAGTGGGATTGTTCTATTCATAGCTAACACATAAGACATAACATAAACCTTGCACTGTTTACACATCTGATCATAGATGTAGGCATGTTCTAATGCAAACTCAATGTTTGATGGACCCTGCTGAAGTAAACGCATATAATATCTATATTGATTGCATTTAGTATTGTTAATCTTTACAAAAAAAAAAAAAAATGCTGCTTCAGGCCATAGCCTACTTGAAGGTATTTGTTAATGTGTTAGCTAGAGCAAGTGTTTTGAAGGTTTTTGGAATAAAATGATCCTTATGAGGGGATCTTTTGTGCTTCATAAATTGTAAAGTCATATTTTAATTTATGAAAACCACAATTATACTGAGTGTGATACTTTAACATGTTATTTCCAAAATTAAATAACTGACTTTTATATTGTAACTGTTAGAAAGCCTAAATGGGTTTAAATAACTCTGAAATGTATTTAAATGTTTAAAGATATCTATCTATCTATCTATCTATCTATCTATCTATCTTAAAATTCTTAAATTGTGCCTGTTGTGGACTGAGGGTCTGTGAATTTGAAAACCGCTGAGCAAGATAGATCATACAAGAAAATGCCTTATTTATTTATTGAACTTTCATTTCTTGCTAGTAATATACTGCAGATTTTTTCTCTTTTTTGCGTAATATTAGGTTAATTAATTAAAATCAATATTTTAGGTTAAACTGTTATCCGTTTTATATTTATAATATTAATTTAGTTTTTAGTTTTCTTTAGACATATTAGTTTATTATCACTCACGAGTCTTTAGTTGCTATCTGATTTTTATTTTTATTCCACAGTTTGTGTTAATGGTCTCTCTGCAAATGATAACTCTTTGGCATTTCATCTCTTGGTGTTCTGGGTTCATCACTTGGGCCTGTGAATTTTCTAGTCTGTCCCTGTGCTGCTAAACCATGTGTAATACGATCAAGTTCACTTCGATTTGAGTCTGAATGCATTTTCTGGGCCAGTGCATTGAGACCACTGCCTTGTCCTTGGTTTAGCTAAAGAGATGGTTGAATTTCATTGGTGGCCATAATTAATTATGTTCTATCTTCAAAATCACCAAGGGAGTATCCTCCATTAGTTGTCTAAACCTAATCCGGGACCAAAGGCTCTTTAAGTGTAGAGAAATGTGCTGATCTTGACTGCGTTAATTAATGCAAGACAGGCAGAGTTTTGACCACATATGCTGCGGTCATTAGAAGTCAGATCATGAAATCGTAGTACTGTAATAAAGCCACAGACTTACTGCAGTGCTTACAGCAGCTTTTGCTGGGGTAAAAAAAAGGTTTAGGACTTAAATGGCATGCAATGTGAGACATATCTCATTTTAAATGTTGAATAAGTGCCATATAAACCAGACAGGTAAGCCAGGTGCCAAAAGAGAGGATTATATAGATTAAATAATATTTGTACATGTCAAGTGAGATTTATTTGTGTAGCACTTTTCACATTTCAGAGCAGCTTTACAGAAAATGTTCATGTTTATAATATCTTAATGTATATCTGCATGTGTGCAGATTATACTTTTATATCAACTTTATATGCAAAAATATTGCATTTTTGTCAATCTATATAGTTAGATCTGTCTGTTGATCTGGCTGCTAAATATAAAAGCGTTCAAAAGCATTCAGAACTGATCAATCTCAATTTTTGGTAAAAGATGGATCATCATCGTAGGCATTACATTTCATGCAGTTTCCACTTGATGAATGACCCTGATGAGAAGATGGTAATGTCCCTCATCATTTTAAACTTTATGCACCACAGATATGTAGCTGGCCACTAAGAGGGCCACAGGACAGCCCATGGGTTATCCCGACATTACAAATGCCCCCTAAAATAGCAAGGCCATAATCCTACTGATATTTGAAGATCACTGTAAACTTTCCAACAGTGCTTGGTTTTATGTAAATTGCACTACCCATGGTGCACTTGTTGCCAAGCAATAAAATCTGACCCACATGACGTACCGCTGGCGCTCTGAATTTCGAATGATATGTTCTCGGAACGGTTTGTAGAGAGGTTTCTATGCAACAGAGGTTAAGTGTACTTGGTCATAACCCCTGATCTGATTTAAGGCCAGTTTGTTTCTTTCTAGCCAGGTTCTCTTTGCAAAAACGCAAGCTGAACATGGAAGACACACGGGAAGAAACGTCTGGACCTGAGGCCCCTGCACAGGTCACCCAACCGTGGACGTTTTCCAAATCATCTTTGATTAGAAAACTGAGACAGCACTTAATCAGTTGTAAGTATATTATTATTATTATTATTATTATTAGTCATTCATGCAATGTAAGAGTGAGAATTCATTTAATAATTTTTTTGCATTTATTTATCTATATGCAATTATTTACACATTCATTTATATGCATTTATTTATGTATACACATTTATTTATGCATTTATCTAACTATATGCATTTCTTTATCTGTATCAATTTATTTAGGCATCTATTTATCTATATGCATTTATTTATATATATTCACTTATTTATGCATTTCTTTATCTATAATGCATTTATTTAGGCATTTCTTTATATGCATTCATTTTTATCTACTTATGTTTTGTTATATGCATTAAATATGTAATGGTATAGACAAGGATGCATTTATTTAGCAAATATGGCATTTTACACAAAGTACAGTAATTTTGTAATTTATGTAGTCACATTGATCATTGTGCATTAATTATTTTCTTTTTACTTGGGCTACTTACTGATGAGCATTGTAGACAAGATGTTTTTTTTAATTTTAGATATGTATTATTTTCACATGTATTATTGAAAGGCAGCAGACTAGTTTGCAGTGTACTAATCCAAGTCTAACTGTGTGAAGCTTCAGAGCGTCTGGTGTCTTTGTTGCCGTCATCTGCATGACAGTTCATTTAGCAGTTCATTTAGGCGAGATGCTAATGGCGTTGCGTCTCTCAGCTGATGATGATGAAGCAAATCAAGCATCTGATGAGCCCGTTGTGGTTTTGCAGCCCTATATTTAGACATCTCTAAGCTATCTGTGAAACTGAATCATGTGCTGAGGACGCAGAGTGATCTGGCACCAGATAGTTTTTTTTTTTATATACAGTATATAAATAAATGTAGGAATGTGCTCAGTGGATCTCCGCAGCTATAAAGCGTTTTTGCCGTAGATCTATGGTTACAACTATGTGGGCACTCAAACAACATCCCCATATGTGCTTGTTGATTTCAAAACCATGGGCTCCTTGAGGAGTTGAGCTTCCTTCATCTTCCACTCTTCTGGAAGGTTTTCCACTGGATGATGGAACATGACTCCTGGGATTTGTTCCAGTTTAGACTCGAGCATCAGTAAGGTCAGGGACAGATGTTGGGCATATGGGGTCTGGCTTACAGCAATTCCAATTCATCCCAAAGCATACCTGTCAACATTTGGGTCCCAAAATACGGGAGAAGGGGGGAGGGGGTGTGATCCTTTCCTTCCCGCAGTACTCATCACTGTTGTAGGTTGCCAAGTTGAGGGGACAAATGGGTTGAAATTTGTATGTGTCGATTGTGTGAAAAGGATGCGTTTCATACAAGATCTGGCAACTGGGCAACCTTGGAATTTGTTGACAGATTATTCATATAATGAGGTTTGGGCCATACAAATCACAGCAGTTTTACCGGAGGCGAATGTAGCAAACATATAAAATACGTTCAGTGGGATTTTTTTAGAGAAACATTAAAATTACGGGAGAAATACGGGAAAATATTTAAACAGGATTATAGCGGGATAGAATGGTAAAATACGGGAGAATACTGGGAAAAACGGGAGGGTTGACAGGTATGTCCCAAGTGGGACAAAACAGGGTGCAAAATTGAAAAAATAAAGCCTTGTACTCAGACAAATGAAACTACATTTATGTATCTTATATGTACTAAGCTACTGAGCTATGCTTTGATACAACCTCCCAACTTTTCTCTTTTTTAACAAAATGTGCTTTTTTACGTTGGACTGTGTAATATAATTTCAACTTTATCTTTAACAGCATTCAAGATGTTTTTAACATTTCAAAACACATTCTCGTGTTAGCACACAGATTACACTTTCACATGTGACCAACAATTCCACAACAAATATAAAATATCATAATGAAATATTATCAAAATATTCAACTGACGGTGTCAACTCCGTCAGTTCTGTCATCTGACGGTGGTGACGAAAACCTGAATTTGTAGTCATTTTAACTATCAAATACATTGAATCAGTCAATTACTGTATTAAAACAAACACAACAAACAGTGAGTATGTTATTGTTTATAAAGCTTTTATTCAAGAGTCACATTTAAGTATTTTGATATATCATTGGAACACAAGCTCTTATGGTGGTGACATCTGACGGTGTTGACAAATTTGCCATTTCTTTCACAAAACCAATGGAGTTCATGTACTAGCATTTTATTTTTTTCTCTTGATGCTAGATGCTATTGGAACCTGCTTCAGGAGAATAAAATTATCTAAATATTTCAAA